CCGGCCAAGTGGGCTCCCATAGCAGGCGTCCGCCGAGGACTCCGTGCGGCCACCTGCCACAGGCCCGTGGGCGCCTCTCCCGGCAGGATCGCTCTGCGTGAGCAGACCGCGCCAAGCGCCCGGCCCTCCGGGGGCGCTGCCGAGGGCCGGGCGCTTGGCCCTCGTCGGGTGTTGTCGACAGCTCGTCGGGTGTTGTCGACACCACCAGTTGCTTCCCTCCACCGTAAGAGTGACCCTTCGCCGGAGTGACCTCTGGTGCGGGATCGTCGGAGCCCCCCCCGATCGTTGAGCGCGATGCGATGGCGGCTGACTGCGTGCTCGGAGATGGCCACCCTGCGCCCCCTGAGGCGCGCACTTGAGGTCACTCTTGCCTGTATAGGGTCACTCTTGCGCGTAGCCCATGCTGCCAAAGGTGACCCTGCATGGTCATTGCCGAAAGTATCCCCGGGACTTCCCGGAAGGCCCTCCACCCAGACCGCATGTCGCTGCATCCCCCCCTTGAACAAAAAACGTAAGTCTTCGCCTGCGACGTGGCGGCGCACCCCGACCCCCAATTTTCAAGGTTCGCACCGAAACTGGCGACTGCCACTTTACCCCGCGGCCCGCGTTGCGCGCGGCGCTGAACACTGACATTAAGCCGGGCATGTCCGTCTCCAGGGGAAATATTCAAAAATAACCCAGCAAATTGTATGAGGACGATTTTTGGGTTATTTGTTAAAACAATGTTTAGCATTTTGGGTTTTTCTTCCTCCAAAATCCGCCTGTAGGAGGACATGCCCGACCTACACTGACATTGGGGGTGAGGAGGTTGGCTTAAAGCTTGCATCTGATCTCACGGAGGGTGGCAGCACCAGACGGCCCCAGGAGGCCCCAAATGGCCCGAAAAGCAGGCCAGGAACACGCTGCCCGCTTTCTTCATTTTCGCGATAACGCCCGTGACCGGCCCCGCCCTCCCCCCCCCTCCACCCCCCTTGGGTCGCCCGATGATCCTCAGGACGTGTGTTAGCCCAATGTGTGTTTACCCCGTTCAGCCCAACTCGTCGATCATCACATCGCCCTCGTCGTATTGAAAGGCCTCAGTGGGCACACACACACGCTGGCGCTAACACACGTTCTGAGGATCATCGAGTCACGTCACGAGTCGCGCAGGCGCCGTGTGGGAGTTAGTTGAGCATTCCCAGACGGCGTCGGCGCGAATCGTGGCGCGACAGGCCCCCTTCCCCCCTTCCCCCCTCCCTGGTCACACCCGCTACAGTCGAGACCGATGGTAAGGATGGGTAGCCTTCCCAAGGGTACTCTTGCATCCTTGCCTCGCTGGTCCATCCTTGGCTACTTTCGATAGCCCGCCGCTCTCGAAAAGCTTCGACATGGGCGTCCAAGGGGCTTGCATCCTTGTCGCGCATCCTTACCATCGAAGACGCCTACGGCGAATCACCGCCGCCCCCTGACTTGTTGGAAGCGCCTGCGTGGCCGAAAGTTGGGTTCGAGCTTGGCCAAGCTATCGGGCCACGCGTTCCCCGAGTGGGTTTCGAAAGCCTTCGGGGAACACGGAGTCGGGCGAGCTATCGGACCAGGTGGTTTCCGAGCTTTCGGGCCTCCTGGAGGACGTCTTGGAGGGCTCTTGGGCCGTCTTGGAGGCCTCTGGCGGGCCTTTTGGGCAGTCTAAGGCCATCTTCAGGCCATCTTGGGTGCATCTTGGGGCCAGCTTGGCCGTCTTGGAGGCCTTCTAGGCCGTCTTGGAGGCATCTTGGAGGCCATCTTGGCCGTCTTGGAGGCCATCTTGGGCGTCTTGGGGGCCATCTTGGGCCGTCTTGGCGTCTTGTTGGGGCCCTCTTGGGGGCCTCTTGGGCTGTCATGGGGGCCATCTTGGAGGCCTCTTGGGCGCTCATGGGACAATGTTGGAGGTCTTTGGGGCCGTCTTTGGCCGTCGGAGAGCTGAAAAGAAGAAAATGCCAATGACTTTCAATGATTTTGGCCCTGTCGGGCCTTCCTGGAAGACGTCTTGGAGGGCTCTTGGGCCGTCTTGGAGGCCTCTTGCGAGCCTATAAGGCCGTCTTAGACCATCTTGGGTGCTTCTTCGGGCCATCTTGTCTGCTTGACGGCCATCTTGGGCGTCTTGGAGGCATCTTGGAGGCCATCTTGGCCGTCTTGGAGGCCATCTTGGGCGTCTTGGGGGCCTCTTGGGCCGTCTTGGGGCCTTTGGGGGGCCGTCTTGGGGGCATCTTGGGCTGTCATGGGGCCATCTTGGAGGCCTCTCGGACGCTCTCGGGTCGATGTTTGGGGCCGCTTTTTCCGTTTTGGGTCGTCGGAGAGTTGAAAAGGAGCAAAAGCCAAAATCTTTCAAAAAGCAAAGGAAATTCAATAAGTTTAACCCTGTCGGGCCTTCCTGGAGGACGTCTTGGAGGGCTCTTGGGCCGTCTTGGAGGCCTCTTGCGGGCCTTTTGGGAAGCATTAGGCCATCTTGAGACCATCTTGGGCCGTCTTGGGTGCATCTTGGGGCCATCGTGGCCGTCTTGGAGGGCATCCTGGCCGTCTTGGAGGCATTTTGGAGGCCATCTTGGCAGTCTTGGAGGCCATCTGGGACTTCTTTGGGGCCTCTTGGGCCGTCTTGGAGCCTTCTCGGGGCCGTCTTGGGGGCCTCTTGGGGCGTCCTGGGGTCGTCTTGGAGGCTTCTTGGGCACTCTTTGGGCGATCTTGATGGCCTCTTGGGCAGTCTTGGGCCGTCGGAGTCCGAAAAGGAGCAAAAGCCCAAATCCTACAAAAACCATAGGACGATCAATGATTTTGACCTCTTCGGGCCGTCCTTGCGGACCCTGGAGGACCTCTTCGAGGCCTCTGGGGCCGTCTTGGAGGCTCTTAGAGGCCTGTGCGGCCGTCTTGGGCCGTCTTAGGTTTTTCTTGTGCGAACTTGGAGGCATTCTGGACTCTCTTAGGCCGTCTTGGAGGCCATCTTGGACCATCTTGGGCGAACTTGGAGGCCGTCTTGGCCATCTTGGAGCCGTCTGAAGCCGAAAAATCCTTTGCAGCCACCTTTTGGGCATCTCTGCGCGCCCTTCCGGGTGGCCTGCGGGACGGGCCGAAGCCCCAAAGGGAGCTCTAAAAGAACCAAAAGCGAAAGGATCCAGCACGCCGGGCACCTTTGTGGCAAGCACACAGGGGGCGTCGGATCGAAGACGCCTACGGCGAATCACCGCCGCCCCCTGCCTTTTTGGAAGCGCCTATGTGGCCGAACGTTGAGGCCAGACCTGCAAAGCTATCGGACCATGTGTTCCCCGAATCGGTTTGGAAAGCCTTCGGGGAACACGTGGGCATCTTAAGAGTCATCTTGGCCGTCTGGAGGCCATTTTGACCCTTTCGGGCCTTATTGGAGGACGTATTGGAGGGCTCTTGGGCCGTCTTGGAGGCCATCTTGAGCGTCTTGGAGGCCTCTTAGGCCGTCTTGGGGGCCTCTTGGGGCCGTCTTGGGCCTCTTGGGCGATCTTTGGGGGCACTTGGGCCGTCTCGGGCAGTCGGAAGGCCGAAAAAAAGCAAATGCCACAATCCTTCAAAAACTCAGGGGAAGTCCTTGCAGTGTTCCACACGAGTTTGTATTGCAGCTCACTTGTAAAGCCGTCCACCGTATGTGGCTACCCCTGCTCAAGCCTTTTTCGACGCGAGCCCTCGGCGGCCCCGCGACGATCAGGACTGGTGCATGGTCGTCGGCCAGATCGCCCAGGCAGCGATCCTCGGGGCGGCGAACATCGGCGGAGCCTGGCTGGGCCGCTGCCCCGCTTGCCCGCAGCAGCCGGGGTGCCCGGCGCCTGCATTGAGCTGCCCACCAGTCTCGCTCACCTGCCCGGCGCCCCCGGCGCCGCCGGCGCTGACTTGCCCGCAGGTGACCTGCGCGGCTCCCGCGTGCCCGCCGTGTGAGGCGCCGGCACGCGAGGAGGTGGCGCCGTGCCCCTCGCCGGCCCGCGAGGACGCGGGCGCCGACGGCCGCGTGGCCGCCTGCCTGCCGCTGTGGGCCGTGGTGCTGATCGGCGCGGTGGCCTGGGGCTGCGGAGCTGGCTCAGTCGCCTGCCTTGTCCAAGGGTGCGCTCGTCGAGGACAGCATGCTGGCCGTGGTGTCATCGTCCGACCTGGTGCCGGGGGACGTGATTCTAGTCCGCTACGCCGCGGACGATCTCTGGCATGAGCGAGTGCTGTGCTGGGCACTGCCCGTCGACAAGAGTGGTGCCGTGCATTGGGTGGTGGCAACACCCGACGGAGATATGTATGTGGAGACGATCGAGGGGGGCAGTCCCGACGACAGCCCTGTGGAATGGATCCGCCCGGCGACCGACGGACGCCTTCCTGTTGGTTTCCAGGACGCCGTGTACTCCTTCCAGCGAGGCGAGATCGACGGGGCCCTCTTAGAGAAGTGCGTGAAGAAGGGTGCCACCATGGCGTTGAAGGGCGCCAGGGAGCACGGCGAGGCCCCCGTCACCATGACCGTGGCCCGGGCCCCGGGGGGCCGCAGGGTGCCGATCGAGGAGGTCGTAGGCGTAGGGTTCGTGCAGCCGGCGCTCCGTGACGGTGCCCCTGACGGCGCAGACGCGGGTGGAGCCGTGATGGCAGGGACTGCTACGCCTGGGACCGGCGTGTGGCGCGTGGTGGAGGAAGGCAACTCGTTGGGTTACGACGTGGGCCGCGAGGTGAAGCCCGTGACGGTGTATATCGGCTGCAAGGGCGTCTACTCGCCCGACGGCAAGGACGCAGCGTTCGTGGAGTTCAGTGACGAGGACGAGGGCGACTTCGTCAAGAGGGTGGCACCGCGACCCCCGCCTAAGGAGGCCTCGGCGCAGGATGCGCGCACGCTGGCCATCAAGTTCAACCCGCAAGGCCGTATGCGAGACTGGCGTGATGTGGTGGATAGCTGCCAACAGGAGGAGTTCGAGGACTTCCCGGTGAGCGGCCCCCGCAGCATGAGCTGGTGCCTGCACTTCTGACGGCGTCGGCACACCCCCTTGGACCATCATCTGATGTTCCGCAGCACGTGCTCGCTGAAGCCTGAGCAGTGGGGGGTGGCCGAGCACGAGACCTTGCTTCGCATCATCGAGCTGGCGGGGCAGTACGACCAATTGGACGTGACGAACCTGGCGTGCATGGAGGCGGCGGCGCGTAGGGTGCAGACCAACGAGTGGGCCTACCACGATAAGATCAGGGAGACGGACGCAGGGTCCACCTCGCGGCTATCCATCGAGGAGGCCACGGCCTTCTCGGGCCTCAGCCGAGCGGGGGACTTGATGACGGTGGCGCCCGCTCTCCTAGAGCACGTGAAGTTGCAAGTAGAGAAGGACGCGGCCATCATGAAGAACATCAGGAAGGCCAAGGAGGAGAGGGAACTGAGGAGGAAGGACAACAAGGGGAACAACAAGGAGAAGGGGTGAACGCCCCCGGGGAGGAGGGGAGCCAGCATTGCCCTCCTGCCCCGACACTACCTCCTGGCTTGCACTGCATCGTACCTGACGAAGGCTTAATTCATAGTCATCCTCCTGGGCTTGGGCCTCCCGGTTCGGATAAGCCAGCTCGGCCGCTGCGCTCGGACGGCCCACGACATCGTGACATTTTTCCTCTTCCTTATCTCGCTTGGAGTACTGCTGACATCGACGCTTCCGTCTACTCAGCGGCTAGAGGCGACGACCGACCCCAGGCTCCGTGTCGGCGCGCGAGGCGTCGCATCCTGAGGCGCCAGGCCGTCGCCAGCATAGCCGACCAGGCGATCTACACCCTCAACGACTTGGCAGGCGGCGAGCGGGGGTCTTCCGTCTCGCAGCCTGGCGAGGGGCGGGCCCCGCACGGGGCAGTGCAGCGACGTGTATATGCGGCCGCCGCGGCGATGGGCCCGCCACCTGCTCTTTCGCCCTCGGGAGCCCTGCAGGAGCTCCGGGGGTGCGCGGTGCACGAGGACGTCCAGTCCACCGCGGTGCCCTTCGACGATATGAAGGCCTCCCTGCCGATGAGCGGTAATCGCCCCGTTCCCCTGGCAGATCTTTTTGGGGCCGGTGGTCAAGCTGAAGTCGACGGGTTTCTTGACTCTCATCTTCTCAAACTAGAAGCAGCCCCCCACAACCTCAAGGGGGGCCCTCGAGACCTACATGGACGAGGTGCTTCGGAACTCTCCGCATGAATACCGGCGGCTGGTCAAAAGGCTCGAGAGGGCCGGGATGATCGACTACGCCATCCAGCCGCAGGAGTTTTGTTCGCTCTTTTTCGTGAGAAAGAAAAACGGGAGCCAGCGGCTGGTCGTCGACTGCCGCCGCTCCAACTGTAGGTTCTCGGCCGCGGACCCCGTCCAGCTCAGCACGGGCGCTGGCCTCGGGAACTTAGAGGTGCCGGACGGGGCGCGGCTGTACGTCGGCCACGTGGATATCAAGGATGCCTTCTACCACTTCGAGCTGCCGGAGCGCGTGCGCAACTTGTTCGCGCTGCCGGCGGTGCCGGCCTGGGTGGCTGGCCTTGCTGAGGTGGGCGGCGTGAGAGTGAGCCCGGGCACCCCTGTGTACCCGCGGCTTCGAGTGCTTCCCATGGGATGGTCACACGCACTGTGGGTTTGCCAGACCTTGCATCGCCGTATCATCCAGGATATTCCGGGCCTCGAGCCAACCTCGTTTCTACACGACCGAGGGCCAGCGCCTGCGACCACCCCCGCGTGCCACACCGTCTACGTTGACAATTTTTTGGCGCTGGGCACCTGCCGATCGACAGTCGAGCGGCTGGTGCGTCAGGTCGATGAAGCTCTGCAGTCCCGGGGCCTTCCGACACACGAGGTAGCCACGTGCTCACTGGAGGAGGAGGTCCTTGGGTGGGAAATCAACGGAAGACTGGGCTTCATTCGACCGCGTCCAGAACGTGCGTGGCGCATGCGTCTTGCGCTGGACGGCCTGTTAGAAACGAAGAAGGTGTCCGCCCGCGACATCGAGAAAGTTGTGGGGCACTGCACCTTCCTAGCCCTCCTCAGTCGGACCTCGCTCTCCATCTTCCGCTCCGTCTACACCTTCGTCGCTCGTCATCGTGATCACGGTACCGTGCCGCTCTGGGAGTCTGTTCGCTGGGAGCTCGAGGCCTTCAGGAACGTCATTCCTTTGATTCGTCGTGATTTGGGGGCTCCGTGGAGTTCGAAGGTTATGGCATCGGACGCTTCTTTCTGGGGCTACGGCGTCGTCTCACGGGACCTCCCTCCGGACAAAGTTCAACAACTAGGGCGTGTCAGTGAACGATGGCGGTTCTCGGGTAAGGCTCAGGTCAGATCTCGTGAAGGGGTTCTGGGGCCCGACGGGGAGCTCGACATCGGCGACTGGGTGAAGAAGGTGGAGGAGGACAGTCAGGAGAGGGAGGACGCCCTTTCGGATCTGCCGGAGGTCTTGAAGGAGAGGGGGTGGGCGGTGCTGATGAGCAAGAAATGGGAGGTCCCCATCTCCAACATCGTTCAGGGAGAGGCTCGGGGCCTCACTGCTGCTGTAAAACATGTATGCCGATCTATGAAGAATTTTGGACGTCGCCACCTTCTCATGTTGGATTCCCTTACGTGCGTACTGGCTCTGTGCAAAGGACGCTCATCCGCCGTCGGCGTCTGCGCCGCTCTCAGATCCGTGGCCGCCCATGGCCTTGCCACGGGCGCGGTCTTCTCGGGCCGCTGGTTCCCCAGCGAGTGGAACCATGCTGACGGGCCGTCGCGGGGGCTTGGCCACGCTGGATACGGAGGCGCCTCTGCTGGCAAGGTCGACGCCCAGAGCGACCACCGCGCCGCGGGGGACAGCTGCGGCGCCGCGAGTGGGTCCGAGGTCGCCCGCGCGGACCTACCCAGTGCGGGGCTGCCCAGTGCTGGGTCGGCGACGGCCGAGGGCGTCCTCGCCGCCGAGCGTGGCGACGGCAGGCTCGTCGCCGGGCGCGCCGCCCTGGCGCCCGCTGGGCCCTGCGAGGACATGCCCGCGGCTGCTGCGCAGCACTGCCACCCAGCTGAAGGCAGCGCGGCGAGCGCTGCGGCTGCCGATAGCAGGTCGACAGCGCTATCTGCAGGCTCGGTCCGTCCGGACCGAAGCGGTGCGCCTACGCTATTCGGAGTTCCTAGAGGAGCTGGACCAGTGGCTCGGGCTCAGCGGCCTGAGTCGCAGGCCGTGCCCGAGCGGCCGCCTGGGTGCTGGGGCCGTGGGCCAGTTCGACCAGGACCTGAGCGACTGGATGAACGAGCAGTACATGGAGGGCTACGACCACTGGCGTGGGTCGAACATGATGGCGGCGATCGCCTGGGCAGACCCTCGCCTGGGCCGCGTGGGGGGGCACGGGCTTCCCCTTTCGCGGCAGGCGCTGAAAAGCTGGCGACTCCTGACGCCCGCCTCCAGCCGCCTGCCGCTGCCGGCCGAGGTGGTGTTTGCCATCGCGATGGAGCTGCTGGTGGTGGACCGCTGGAGCATGGCCGTGTGCACCATGCTGTCCCTCGTGTTCCTCATGAGGCCCGGCGACTGGAGGACAGTGCGCGTCGAGCACCTGGCGCCGCCTGCAGTGGGCGGCAGTCGCGGGCTTGCCCGCTGGAGCCTGGTGCTGCACCCGTTGGAGAACGAAGGCAGCCTGCCAAGCAAGACGGGGGAGTTCGACGAGTCGCTGCTGCTGGACCTAGAGGAGGACCAGTGGCTGGCGCCGCTGTGCCAGCGTCTCGTGCTCGGCCGCGACCCGCAGGAGCCCCTGTTCGCCTTCAGCCAGGCCGAGTTCGCGCGGTGCTTCAAGACGGCCGGCGCAAAGCTGCTGCTGCAGCGCCCTCCGCCGCCCTACATCCTGCGGCACTCGGGCGCCAGCCGCGACTTCGCCGAGCAGCGCAGGACGCTGGTCGGGGTGAAGCGCCGGGGAAGGCGGCGCACGGACGCGAGCGTCAGGCGCTACGAGAAGGGGGGCAGACTGGGCAGCGAGTTCGCCAAGCTGCCGCTCTGCCTCCAGAACCATGCACGCTGGTGCCTCAGGTACCTCCCCGCGGCGCTCTCCGGGTCGCTGCAGCCGCGCGGGTTCCGCGCCCTCTGAGGATGCGGGTCTTCCTGGAGGTGTTCGCTGGCACTGCTCGGCTGGGCCGAGCGATGGCGGCGCAGGGTTTTCACGTGCTGGCTTGGGACGTGAAGTATGGCGATCAGTTCGATCTCACCTCGCCTTCGAAGCGTTCACTGATTCGCGGGTGGATTCTTGGTCGTGCTATACTGTCTGTGCATTTCGGCGTCCCTTGCTCGTCGTGGTCCCGAGCGCGGGACATCCCACCAGGCCCGCCGCCGCTGAGGTCCAACGATCTCGTCATGGGGCTCAAGGACCTGTCTGCAGCTGACCAGGCCAAAGCCGATTTGGGAAACACCCTCATGTCCTTCACCGTATCGTGTTTACATGTTTGTCGGAGGATGAGAATTTCGGGCACAATGGAGAACCCCGCCACCAGTAGGATTTGGCTTGCGCCTGCCGTCGTCTCCCTCGCTCGTAATTATTCCTCTCAGGTTGTTTCAACCGACTTTTGCCTATTCGGGACGCCCTGGCGTAAAAGAACAAAGTTTTTGGGCGTCCTGATTGATTTAACCTCGATAGAAAGACTGTGTAAAAGAAAGAATAATTTGTGCTCGGCCTCTCATAGGCCTCACCAGAACCTCCAGGGTAAAAACTCGGAGGGTCGGTTTTGGACAGAGGTGGCTGAACCATACCCTCCTCGGCTCTGTCGGGCGTTAGCGCTGGCCTTCTCTGATGCTCTCGTCGCGCTCAAGGCGCAAGGTATGGCCAGTCACCTCTGGTAGGTTAGTAGGTTTGAATCGTTTTTTCGTGCGGCCCTCCGGGCCAGTGGACAAGTAAAGTTGGCTCTCTTTTCTGTCAGTGCGGATCTGGTGGCCGGCGCCCACTCCCATTTGTATATGTTTGTCGGCGCTTGCTGTCTCTCAGGTCCTGGCGGAAGTTGAGCCTCTCAGATAAAAAATTGTCCCTGGTCTCGGGGGGGTGGAATACATTGCAGTGTTCCACGCGAGTTTGTATTGCAGCTCACTTGTAAAGCCGTCCACCGTATGTGGCTACCCCTGCTCAAGCCTCCCACCCGCGTACCACCCTGCTCTCACAGTGCTGCTCCCTAATGATCTGGTGGCCGGCGCCCACTCCCATTTGTATATGTTTGTCGGCGCTTGCTGTCTCTCAGGTCCTGGCGGAAGTTGAGCCTCTCAGATAAAAAATTGTCCCTGGTCTCGGGGGGGTAGAATACATGATTTTAGCCTCTTCGGGCCCTCCTGGAGGACCTCTCGGAGGTCTCTTGGGCCGTCTTGGAGGCCTCTTGGGCACCTCTTTGGGCCGTCTTGGGCCGTCTTGGAGGTTTCTTGGGCGGACTTGGAGGCATCCCTCCTCTCCCGGGCCGTCTTGGAGGCCATCTTGGACCATCTTGGAGGTCATCTTGGGCCAACGTGGCCACCATGGAGGCCATCTTGAGCCGTCTGGGAGGAATTTTCCGCAATTGAGCTCCTTTCCGGGTGGCCAGCGGGACAGGCCGAAGCCCCAGGGGGAGTTCTTTTAGAAAAAGAACCAAAACCAAAACCGAAAGGATTCAGCACGCCGGGCACCCCTGTGGCAAGCAACAGGGGGCGGCGGATCGAAGACGCCTACGGCGAATCACCGCCGCCCCCTGCCTTTTGGAAGCGCCTGTGTGGCCGAACGTTGAGGCCAGACCTGCCAAGCTATCGGACCATGTGTTCCCCGAATCGGTTTGGAAAGCCTTCAGGGAACACGTGGGCATCTTGAAGGTCATCTTGGCCGCCTGGAGGCCATTTTGACTCTTCCGGGCCTTCTTGGAGGACGTCTTGGAGGGCGCTTGGGCCGTCTTGGAGGCCACCTTGAGCGTCTTGGAGGCCTCTTCGGCCGTCTTGGGGGCCTCTTGGGGCCGTCTTGGGCCTCTTGGGCGATCTTTGGGGGCACTTGGGCCGTCTCGGGCCGTCGGGAGGCCGAAAAAATGCAAATGCCACAATCCTTCAAAAGTTCATAGGAAATCAATGATTTTGGCCTGTCGGGCCTTCCTTCCTGGAGGCCCTCTTGGAGGCCTCTTGGAGGCATCTTGGGTCGTCTTGGGCCATCTTAGTGCCATCTTCGGCCGTCTTGGTGGGCCCTGGCCCGTCCGACGCCGTCGGAAGCCGTTTGGGGGGCCTCTCTGAGCCGACTTGGGGAAATCAGTGTTTTGGGCCTTTTCTGGCCGTCCTGGAGGCCCTCTTGGAGGCCTCTTAGGCCGTCTTGGGCCAACTTCGAGCCAATTTCGGTCATCTTGGTGGGCTCCTGGCCCGTCTGACGCCGTCGGAAGCCGTTTGGGGGGCCTTTCTGGGCCGACTTGGGGTCCTCTTGGGGTGCTCCAGGGCCGTCTTAGAGGCCATCCTAGGCGTCTTGGAGGCCTCTTGGGTCGTCTTTGTGCCCTCTTGGGGCCGTCTTGGGGGCCTCTTGGGCAGTCCTGGGGCCATCTTGGAGGCCTCTTGGGCGCTGTGGGGGCGATCTTGGGGGCCTCTTGTGCCGTCTTGGATCGTCGGAAAGCCGAGAAGAAGCGAATGCGAAAATCCTTCAAAAACCTAAGGAACATCAATGATTTTGGCCTCTTCGGGCCCTCCTGGAGGACCTCTTGGAGGCCTCTTGGGCCGTCTTGTAGGCCTCTGGGGTGCCTATGGGGCCGTCTTCGGCCGTCTTGGACTCTTGGGCCGTATGGGAGGCCGTCTTGGACCATCTTGGGCGCACTTGGAAACCATCTTGGACCATCTTGGAGGCCATCTTGGGCCAACGTAGCCATCTTGGAGACCATCTTGGGTCATCTTGAGCGAAAAATTGGGAGAATTGCGGGCCTCCCGGGTGGCCGGCGGGATAGGCCGAAGGCCCAGGGGAGGTCTTTTGGAAAAAGAACCAAAATCAACAGCGAAAGGGTCTAGCACGCCGGGCGCCCTTGTGATGAATCAACAGGGGGCGGCGGACTCGGGGCCCTCTGGGGGGCCGTCTTGGAGGCGTCTTGGGCCGTCATGGGGCCCTCTTGGAGGCCTCTTGGGCGATCTTGAGGGCCTCTTGGGCCGTCTTGAGCTGTCGGAATGCCGAGAAGAAGCAAATGCCAAAATCTTTCAAACGCCTAAGGACAAATCATTGATGTTGGCCTCTCGGGGCCCTCTTGGAGGACCTCTTGGAGGACCTCTTGGAGGCCTCTTGGGCCGTCTTGGGCCGTCTTGGAGGCTTCTTGGGCCGTCTTCGAGGCTTCTTGGGCGAACTTTGAAGTATCTTGGACCTTTTTGGGCCCTCTTGGAGGCCGTCTTCGACCATTTTGGGTGAACTTGGAGGCCATCTTAGCCGTCTTGGAGGCCATCTTGGCCGTCTTGGAGGCGTCTTGGACGCCTCTTGGGCCGTCTTGGGGTGATCTTGGAGACCTCTTGGGCCGTCTTGGGGCGCTCTTGGAGGCCTCTTGAGTTGTCTTGGAGAGTCGGAAAGCCGAAAAGACGAGATAACCAATCTCCTTCCGAAACCATCGTAAATTGAACGATTTTGTGCCTCTCGGGGCCCTCTTGGAGGACCTCTTGGAGGCCTCTTGGGCCGTCTTAGGCCGTCTTGGAGGCTTCTTGGGCCGTTTTGGAGGCTTCTTGGGCGAACTTGGAGGTATCTTGGACCCTCTTGGGCCGTCTTGGAGGCCGTCTTGGACCATCTTGGGCGGAATTGGAGGCCATCTTGGACCATCTTGGAGGCCATCTTGGGCCAACGTGGCCATCTTGGAGGCCATCTTGAACCGTCTTGGAGCAACATTTGGGAATTGGGCGATGGCTTGGGCGTCCTATGGGTCTTGTGGGGGCCCTGGCGGGACGGGCCGAAGCCCCAGGGGGAGTTCTTTTGGAAAAGAACCAAACCCAAAGCCGAGAGTGTCCAGCACGCCAGGCACCCCTGCGATGAATCGGCAGGGGGCGGCGGATGACGGAAAGCGCGCGTTAGCGTGCGGTCCGTTAGTCGGAAGAAATTGGACTTGGGGGAGTTCGAGGGGGTTGGCATCCGCGGACCCGGATGACGGAAAGCGCGCGTTAGCGTGCGGTCCGTTAGTCGGAAGAAATTGGATTTGGGGGAGTTCGAGGGGGTTGGCATCCGCGGACCCGGATGACGGAAAGCGCGCGTTAGCGTGCGGTCCGTTAGTCGGAAGAAATTGGATTTGGGGGAGTTCGAGGGGGTTGGCATCGCGACGCCCGAGATCTAATTGCCCTCCCGCTTCGTTTTTTATCGAGTAGGACGGCCTTCGG